GGAGAGGGGAGGGGAGGGGAAAGAAACTCAGAGCATCATGGGGCCCCCCAGCAGCCTAGGCCTATAGCAGCATAACTAAGGGAAGGCTCAGGGTCACCTGATCCAGCCCTAACTATAAGCTTTATCAAAAAGGAACGTCTTAAGTCTAATCTTAAAGGTAGAGAGGGTGTCCGCCTCCCGAACTGAGACTGGGAGTTGGTTCCATAGGAGAGGAGCTTGATAGCTAAAGGCTCTGCCTCCCATTCTGCTTCTGTGGACTCTAGGAACCACAAGTAAACCTGCACTCTGAGAGCGAAGTGCTCTGTTAGGATGATACGGCTCTACGAGGTCTTTAAGATACGATGGAGCCTTGTCATTAAGGGCTTTGTATGTTAGGAGAAGGATTTTAAATTCTATTCTGAATTTTACAGGGAGCCAGTGGAGAGAAGCTAATATGGGAGAGATATGATCTCTCTTGCTAGTTCCTGTCAGTACTCTGGCTGCAGCATTTTGGATTAACTGGAGGCTTTTTAGGGAATTATTGGGACATCCTGATAGTAAAGAGTTACAGTAGTCCAGCCTGGAAGTAACAAATGCATGGACCAGTTTTTCAGCATCACTTTGAGACAGGATGCTCCTGATTTTTGCAATATTGCGCAGGTGAAAGAAGGCAGATCTAGAGACTTGGTTTATGTGTGATTTAAAGGACATATTCTGATCAACGATGACTCCAAGGTTCCTCACAGTAGTACTGGAGGCAAGAGCTATGTCATCTAAAGTAACTATATGATTAGACAGCAGATTTCTAAGGTTTTCAGGCCCAAGCACAATAACTTCAGTTTTGTCAGAGTTTAGAAGTAAGAAGTTGCAGGTCATCCAGGCCTTTATGTCTTTAAGACATGCTTGAAGTTTGACCAGCTGACCTGATTCATTTGGCTTCATAGATAAATATAACTGAGTATCATCTGCATAGCAATGGAAATTTATGTTGTGCTTCCTGATAATATTGCCTAAAGGGAGCATTTATAAAGTGAAGAGTATTGGACCTAACACAGAGCCCTGTGGAACGCCGTGACTAACTTCAGTTTGTGGGGAACATTTGTCATTGACATGAACAAATTGAAATCTTTCTGATAAATAAGATTTGAACCAACTTAGTGCAGTTCCTTTAATCCCAATAACATGTTCAAGTCTCTGCAGTAAGATGCTGTGATCAATGGTGTCAAAAGCAGCACTGAGATCTAAGAGGACAAGTATGGAGACAAGTCCTTTGTCCGAGGCTAGGAGAAGATCATTGGTGACTTCCATCAATGCGGTTTCTGTACTATGATGGACTCTAAATCCTGACTGAAAATCCTCAAACAAATCATTCTTGTGCAAGTGGTCACATAACTGCTTTGCAACAGCTTTTTCAAGGATTTTGGAAATAAATGGGAGATTGGATATTGGTCTATAATTAGCTAGGACACCTGGGTCAAGAGTAGGCTTTTTGAGTAGAGGTTTAATTACTGCAACTTTAAAAGCCTGTGGAACATAACCTGTTAATAGAGAGAGGTTAATCAGATCTAGTATGGATGTGTTGATTAGGGGAAAGACGTCTTTGAGCAGCCTGGTCAGGATGGGGTCCAGGAGACATGTTGATGATTTAGATGAAGCAATTGTTGAGGTCAACTCAGAGAGATCTATAGGGGAGAAGTAGTCCAAGTATAAATGAGGTCTTACAGATGTTTCTAAAACCATTGTAGTAGATGGCACATCTGCGAGAGCTGTGGGAGTGGTCCGACCAATTTTTTCTCTAATAGTTGTGATTTTATTTGTAAAGAAGCTCATGAAGTCATTGCTGCTGAGATCTAAGGGAATGTTAAGCTCAACAGCACTGTGGCTCTTTGTCAGCCTGGCTACAGTGCTGAAAAGAAACCTGGGGTTGTTCTTATTCTCCTCAATCAGTGATGAATAAAATGCGGTTCTGGCACTATGAAGGGCTTTCTTATATGTTATTAAACTATCTTTCCAGACTATGAAAAACTCTTCTGACTTAGTGGAGCGCCACCTCCTTTCCAGTTTTCGTGATGCCTGCTTGAGGGAGCGGAGCTGCGAGCTGTACCACGGCGCTAACCTCCTCTGTTTCACTACCTTCTTTTTCAGAGGGGCAATGGTATCAAATGTATTA